AATAAATTTAGTTTTCAACTATAACAACAGCAAACCAAAGTTGAAAATAAACTGTTCATCAGTCAAGACTAATGAGTATGAGACTACAGAGAAAATATCTTTAAAATTAATTCTTCTATGGGGAAAATGCAGGCAGCCTTCTCCAGTATTCAAAATGCAAATATTAGACTAATGTATCACAAATAGAAGCAGACTGTATTATTTGAACTTGGTGGAGAGGAAATGTTATGCAAAATGACATGCATATTTTAGTGTGTTTTAATATAAACCCTGTTTTTACATTTTAACTGGGATTTGTAAATTAAATAATGAAACCTTTCCAATAGTGAAATACTTCCTGTTGTCCTTACTATATGTAACCTAAGGTCTTAACATCAGAGGTGTCTTTGTTTAAGCTTTGCATTAATCCATGTTAAAGTTTAGAATGCTTGAAGAAGTATTTTCCAATTTTCCTGGCCCTTAACGTGTATTTTTTTGCTAGGATTGGTTTGTATGGAGACAGTTGTCCAACCTGTATAGTCTGGAATTCTAGGTGGGACTGGGTCAATATGAATACTGCATAGTATTTCTGAAAATCAGAGGATGGGGGGGGGAAAAAGGGAAGTTGGTGTTTGAGAAAACATTTGAATTTTCTTTGCTTCTGCCAATGTTATTGTTAATACATGGGGTTTTTTAAAAAATATTTATTTTTCTGTGACTTTTACTCCTCTATGTCTAACTTTCTTTTAAAATAAGATAGCTCTTAGGATGTGTTGTCTTTGGGGTTTTTTGGTGTGGACTTTTTTTTTTTTAATTAACACTTTTTCTCAGTTTGTTAGAATGGAGAGTCAGTCACATGGTTTTAGAAGACAAAAACCTATGCTATTGACTTGGGTATTGCTCTTGAAGCTTAATCTGAAAGAGATTTAGTACAGAACCAAACTGTGCTAAAGCAATCCAGTATCCTCCTGTGGTGGAGCAGATGATTGAGTAGAGGAGAAGCAGTAGGTACTGTGTATTTTAAGAAGATCTTTTGGCACACACTGGTATGGTCTACATAACTAAGCTAAGGAGGTACGTCCTGTATTGAAGCTACTACGAGTTGTCTGGACAACTGTAGTAGAAGTACTTCACTGGGAAATGGTAGGTTTCATATGCATTTTCTTGAGCCTCTAGTACTTGTTGATATTTTTCTGCATTACCGGATGATAGAAGAGAAAGTAAATGTTCCCGTTTTGCATAAAAAGGTAATACAGAGATGAAAAATAGTACAAATATATAATGAGGACTGATTAATCAGTAGGGAAGGTTGAAGTGCTTGTAGTGTGTAATAAGCCACTCAGACTGGCAGTACATTTTTGAGGGAGAGAGGGAAGTGGATGCTGTTCCAGGATGTATACATAGGAGTGCATGTATCCAAATTGTAGTGAAATACTGTTGCTGTGTTTGAAGAGGTTAGAACTTTGCATGGAGTACTGTACTTACAGAAGTATATTAACTGTTAAAACGACTGAAAAAGAACATGGGTTTTGCAAAGATGGCCCGGAAGAGCAGGGTGGAAGAACTGGAGCTGTTCTCACTGGGAATGAGTGCAATGCTGTACCTCATGACTGCTGAAGGATAGGTGGAGGAAAAGCTGTTCTTTGTCCTCTGGGAAAGGATAATACCCTTATGACATTTGTACAAAAGGGTTTTTGGAGGTTGGAGGGACGTCTGGTAAGAATGGTCAGACATTGACATAAGGAGATTGTGTAAGGTAGCTCTGTCATTGGTCCAAGAGCTAATAATGGTGTTATCAGGTAGACAATGGCTTCTGCCTTCTGCAAAAGTGAAAGTTCAGCGGGAGTCAGGGACTACCATCCAGGAGATGGTAGCAGTTGCTAGCCTCTCAAGTATGAAGTGTCTCTTTGCTAGGGAGAATTTCCCATTTCCTGCAAAATTCTTAACCAACAAATTAACATCTCATTTGGAAAAGAAGAATACAGCATGATGCACAGCCTTTGGGATGAAGAATTCTCATTTCTCATAAAACAGGAGAACAAAAGCCCTGTAATGAGGTGGAATTACAGTGATTTTAATCAGCATAGAATTTGTGTGTATATACAAAATAGGCTAATATTTGTATTAGCATGTTGTCTTCTCAATATAACATTGTATACATACGTTAAAAAATGATGAAGACTGGCATTTTCTCATTCAAATTGCATTTATTTTCAATTTTTTTTTTTCACTGTAGCTGAAGTAGTATTTTGGTACTTGACTAAGGTCCTACTCTTGCTTTCTTAATCCCTGGTTTAGGACTGACAGGGATAGAGTGTTGTGGAATTTCATCAATACTGTTTGAATTGGCCTGGTAAAGATTGGTGTTAATAATGTCCTGACACTCTTCTGCTGGAGCTGAACACAAAACTGCTTTGGTGTTGTTGGTGCTGTAATGAGATGAGAGGGAGGAGCTGAAACCCACCTACTTCTGTGGCACTGCCTAGAGAGGCTTTGCAACCGAAGTCCTTTCATCTCTTGCAAGGGAAAGTGAAAGTCTAGTTTTGTGCTCAAACTATGATAGTGATTATACCCTAAAACCAGTTGCTTATGCTGTGACTAACTTTACAATATCTACTCAGGAAAAGAATATAACCATTTATCTCTAATTTCTCTTACGGTTTTATTATATTTGCATGTCAGGTATGGTGCGTACTCCCACTAACAGGTTTAGGACTGGATGAAAGAGCCATTCCATGTGTAGCAAGTCTGAATTTAATGAAATAAAAGAAACATAATAGAGTCTGATGATTAGAGTGTTAGAAGAAATAATATTGTCAATATATGGATGCTAAAACTGAAATAGTAACATTTTAAGATAAGTAAAGAAAGCAGCATTACTGAGAGTGTGTGTGTGACGATGCATTCTGAGTTTAGAACCTACTTGGAAGGGAGTCTTAAACTGTAAAGTTTTATGGTGTTGGAACTCTTAAGGATCCAGTTCCTTGTCAGGCAGGAAGGATTAGTCTGCCTAAAGGACTTCAGTGATATAATTCATATTTTTATAGAAAATGTAGTTGTTATAAGAATCTCTTTCTCAAAAAAAAAACCCACCAGTAGGGTGTTCCACAGTATTTGGTACCATTTCTGTTTTGTCAGGTGAAGAACCAGCTGTCAGCACAGACTTATATACCTATGGTGTCAAGTCCTGCTCACATCAGGCAGTGTTGCTGCTCAACATCAGGCAGTGTTGCTGCTCAACATCAGGCAGTGTTGCTGCTCAACATCAGGCAGTGTTGCTGCTCACATCAGGCAGTGTTGCAGCTCAGCTAGAGCTGGTGAAGGGAGAGTCTCACGGAATTGTCTTGTGTAAGCACTTGACTTGTGAGGCCAGATCTCTTCACAGAACCAGGGGTAAATTGAAACTCTCTGCTGACTTTATTGGTGGGGTATATTGACTTTGCAGCGTTTGTAAGTGGAAGGAGGAGGACAGCAGCTTGCCTGGTCTCCTACAGTTTCTTTGTAGGACATGAGGAGGCTGGGTGTGCTCCAGGGCGGTGGTAGCCATATTGGAGATGGCAGCCTCTCCTGCTTTGCTTCCTCCCATCACCCCACCATTGGCAAACTATGGTTTTGCTTGGGTGGTGCAGCCCTGGAACTGAGGCCACACTTGAATCACTCGGAGACCACAGGGGTAAGTGCTGTGGGCCTGGGGAACTTGGTTGCTGTGTTCAGACACTTAAACTCATGTTCAGTGGTAACCACTTTGAATAGGTCCCCTAGTATATCAGTGCTTTGGTGATAGTTTCAGTGAAGTGGTTTTTGTTGAATTGCTTAAAGGTGAAGAAAAAGTTTAGCAGAACAAGTGTATTTAATTAGCAAATCTGCTTTGAAATTTTGCCATGCTTCTGATATGGGGAATCATAGGAAAGTTGTTATGAGAAGGGATGGTGCAAAACACTTGGTGGAGTTTTATCCTGTAGCTGCAGTACCCACAACTGGTGGTTCTGTGCCTCTCTTGCACATCACTCTTTAACAGTGTGAATGTGCCTTTTAGGTTTTTTGGTAATAAAAACTATAACTTTACTGTTGTATGCAACAGCTAGCTCCTTCACTAGCTTAGGGTCCTAGAATACCGCTCTGTGTTCAAGGCTCAACTGATGTGGTTTGTCACCAGAGTAGTTGTTCATTTCCTGTACCAGTTACAGACAGAACATACTGATTCTGGAGACCCCGAGAGGTCAGGGCTTCTGCTTTCCCAGTTGTTTTTTGGTGGTGTTTTTCTTCCTTCCCATTATTTCTTCAGTGAAATAAAATTTCTGTTGGGAAAGTGTTTTGTTTCCTTCCTTCTTTGGATTTGGAAACGCACATTCTGTGCTTCCAGCTTCTGGTTGTGTTTTTCCAGTCATCTCTGAAAACTGTTGGGCATGAATTTGGGTTTATTCCCCTGCTGTCCCAAGGGTGGTTCGTAAGCATTTCTTTATCTCTTATAAGGAGGGGAAATTCCCTTTAAGGTGTACAATAGAAAGAATTGACCTGTATTCAAGTTTTATTTGGTTTAGCAGAGAATAAATTACACACAGCTTAAAAATAATTTTGAGAGCACTTGTGATTTCTTATGTGTTTTTCTTATGAGGCTAATTCTGTATTATTTTTAGAAAAAATTGTCTTTACAGGATTGAGGCATCTGTGCCTTTTTGTTTGGACAAATGATCTGTAGATATATTAGATCTCTGTAGCCTTTTAGTTCATGTTGTGAACTCCTTTTTCTGGATGGAAAAAAGCTTACTACCAATTAATTTTGTTTCCTAAATCTCCAAAAAGAGTATTAATTTTGTTTTTAAAATTAATTTTTTATTGCCTTTTGCTTTAAAACTACTCAGAAGCTGTTAATTTTAGGTTTGGTTTTGTATTATTTTCAGTGCACAAAATGTTTGGAAATGGATTTTTTTTTTTCCATTTATAGAACGATAAGAATTGTGAGACGCTTGGAAGATAATAAAACGTTATTAGTAAAAATATATTAATCTACTTCATTTACAGGAAGTGGTCATCGGTCAAAATTTGTTTACCTCAGCAGAGACAAAAAATTAATGGGCAAAAGTACAGTGTGTAGGTAGCTATTTTCAGTGCACTTAAGGTTCTTCAAAGAACCTTGTTCTAAGGGAGTGGGATAGCTATAAAAACATAAGATTTTGCTCTTTAAAATACTCAGGCAGTAGACTCAACGGTAGATGTTGAAGGAGGTGGCTTTGAAGTATACTAATGTGCTTTCTACTTTTGTGAGGTTTTAATAAAAAGTGCCTTGGAATGATGCATATGTGCACTTGTGGGGTAGAGAGAAATTGAAGCAAGTATATTTACTTTTATATGTGCTTTTAAAATTTTTGCAAATATTTTTCTCGAAGATTTGTAAACAAACTGTTTTTTCTGATAGTTGTCCCAAATTTGAAACTTACCTAATATAAATTATAAAGGGATTGGGCATGGGCATCTTTTTGTTGACTGACTCTGTTTTACTACATTCAGTGCATTGAAATGTAGTGCAGTAATTTTTACACTTCAGTATATTATTTTCTTTTATGGTATTCTGTAATCATAACAAAAGTTAGTCAGTTCCATGATTGTAAGTTTGCAGCAGTAGTACCATACAGTGGGTGGGTGAGTGTTGCATTTTGGCATGTCAATAACAATCACATTTTATGTATACCCTTAAAAAGATAAATAAATCCTTTCTTTAAATTCTCTCATTAACATAGTCTGCTCTGCAAATAAATGTTCTCTAGAATCTTTAGTGTTCCTTCAGCTCAAATGGCAAAGGCTAAAAAAATCCCTGAAAACAACTTGGTTTTGTTCATACAGAAATGAATGTTGTTAGTAATTATACAAGGTATTTCAGGCTAGCATTGCATTTAATTCAGTAAAATCACCTTTGAAGATGGAAGGTTCAATTTCAGGACTGTTTTGTTTTATCTTTACATCACTAAAGTAAAAATTCAGTTGTTTTGGTTTTTATTGCATGTCCCAAACTGGTACTATGCAGTGTAGCCAGATTTTATATTTATGTCCTAAAAGTAGAGCAGGAAGGAGGTGGCATTTTGAAATGGGGTATTAAAACATTTTAAAAGTAAAATCTGTTACATTCCTGTGAGTTAGGAAGGAATTTCAGCAGACTGCAGACTGTGAGTTAATTAGAGCCTACAAATTATTGGGAGGAAAAAAAAAGTGAATGTGATAAGAAGACATGAAGTTAAAAACATAAGAGTGAACTTCGGGGTTTTGCCAAATAGCATGTTAAAGTAGCATGGATGTGTTTCCAGGAACATGTTATGACATGCTTAAGATTCATTAAAATATGAGGAGCAGAAGAGTCAGCAAACCTCAGGAATAGCTTGCTTTTTGTGATTACTTTCTCTTACATTTTGGCAATATGTGTTTGAATTTAATGATACACTGCAAAAAGTCCCAGAAGTAATTTTGAAGAGTTTTTCCTTTCATTTGTCATGTGTTATTTGTTATGCTCAGTTAGACTTCAGTTTGAGGGTTTAAATGTGAATGTGAACTTTTCTCCTGTGTGCTACTCTTGTCTTAGAATCCCAAATTGGTTGGGAAAAAGTTATGCTTGGCACAGGCTGGTTTCTTGGTCCTCAGAACAATTTATCAGTGTGTTGCTTTTGCTTCCAAGGCAGTCTCCAGACTGTTTTGGCTTTCCTAGAGCAAAGCTGGTTAAGTAGTTTACCATTAGAGAGTGTGCCTTTTCACTAATAGTTTCTGAAAATTATTTTAGTGGCAAAGCATGTTTCTCTTCAAGTCTCCCATGTAGTGTTTTAAAGAAGGTGAGATCTGAGCAACTTGTAGTATGGAATGACGGTTCCTTACATAGGTGAAGGCTCAGCTTTGAGAGCCAGTGTTTAAAGTGAAGCAATGGGGTATGCAGACTGGTAACTGGGAGTTTGTGAAGTTGCAGTTGCAGATATCCTTGGTGTCAGGAAGACAAAAGCTGTCCTGACTTAATTGCTGTGATAAGGAAGACAGGTGACTGTTCTTGTTTATTAATTTATTTATGCTGAACCAGGCAATAGGATCACTTCTTAAAGCCAGAAATGCTCGAGACAGTTGCAGACACCATGGTACAGGGAGTAAGGACTGGTATAGCTTGAGTGCTCCAAAGCATATGATTCAGAAGTGAGTGTGATTCAGTGCAGCCCTGCTTATTTGAATGTGGACTAGATCTGATACTTCATGAAGCAGTACCAGACAGACCTGTTTTGAAATACTGGATTCATAGATGAAAAGTCATTCATTTATCGAGAGTAATCTTCAGCTCTTTTCTTTTTGAAGTGTTAAAATGGGTTTGTCATAAAAGAAACCTGCTTTGGTTGTGCACTCTTCTATCTCTGTTCTCTCTTTTCCAGTCTCTAGCACTTTTGATACCAAGAAATTTTAGAGAAACTTCTTACAGAAGACTATACCTGATGTATATTTTGCTTCCCTTGATAGTAGGAGATTTAGAACAGAACTTAGAACAGAAGAGTACTTTTGTGAGAATGTTTTCAGATGTGGATTTTTGTAGTAAATAATTGAGATTGGTTGCTTTGATCAAGAATGAAGTAGTTATATTTCAGGGATCCTGATTCAGAGGTCCTGTCAGTCCCTGTGAACATGGGAAACGGGATGGAAAAAACTGTAAAACTTTTAGAGTTATAAGTTACTAGTCTTTACAAAAAGAAACCCTCCTTGTAAAGAACAGCACACATATTCACACATCAGAAGAAATTAGGAAGCATCAATCCAGAGCAAAAGATCAAATAAGAAACATTTGAAGTCACTAGGTTCTCAGAGGGAACCTTATTAGACTTCCTTAGAAGTTTGTTGGATTACCATAAATAATCAAGATTGGAAATATTTTTTCCTCTGAAATTATCAGAATTGTAGTAAGAAAGCAAGCAATTAAACTGGAAAATAATGAAAGAAGGGAAATGGATCTGACCAAGGATGCACTTCCTACCCAGAAAGTCAAAAGCCTAAATGGTTTCATTTCAGTCTTCTGTCAATTAATTGGACTACAGAATTCACAGGAAACCCAGAAAAATAAATACACAGAGGATGCAGAGAAAGCTTTCAAAGTTCAGAGCCATAATTTACTGAAAATCTTTGTAGAATTACTTTGTTCCTAAATAACCTGAAACATAAAAACTTTTAGGTACTCTAATAATTATATTTTAAAAGAAAATTTACAGCTCCTCAGTTTTATTTGCTTAACTAGGACTATGCATGCCCAAACCAGCTATGTAAGCATTTAATCTACAGTTTAGCAAATTTATTTAAAAAAAACCCAAAACAATCACTTCAAGTCATGAATCTTTTCTCTGTATGTTCTTCAGGGCTTGTTGACAGATTCTTTTCTTTTAGCCTTATTTTCTTACGCCACATCTATTGTGGTACATGAATTGCAAATTAACAGGCATTAGTCAATATTTTGGGTTTTTTTCAATTGAAATTTTAGACTGTGTTAACACTTGACATGAGAAGTGTGAAGGTAACAGTTAAGATCTTTTTTGATCCATGGGTTTATTGGGGTTTTGTTGTTGCTCTTTCCAAATGAAAAAGTAATTGAGCAGATAAAGAGAAACAGTGCAGGCAGGTGCTGTGTGGTGACTGGCACCCTGTGGAGTGAAAGTGGGGTGGTTTATGTGGTTACTACCCACAGCTGTGTTCTTGATCCTGTCCCAGAGGTGGTTGCACCTGCTGTGTAGGGGTGGTTGGACAGGGTATGTAGTAAATCCTGTGTAAATTTCAGTATAACCTACCAGGAGTGAGTTGGTGGTACCTCGGTTGGTGCTTGTGTTCCACAGCTTGTCAGCAGCTTCTGATGAGAGGGGCGTGATGGAAAAATTGAGGATGGGAGCTGTATCGGCTGCCCTAGTTCAATCCACCACTGCATGTGATCAGTTACATATTATAATTCCTTAATGGTGTAGTCTATCATACAAAGATTCATTCTTCTGATTAGGTGAATTTGGACAACAGGACGCTTGCCTTCTTCATTTCCTAATACCTTGATCTTCAGATACAGTTTCTTGTCAAGATACTATAAATCGGGGCTGTGTCTGGACCATGGATCCCACTGGCTGAAAATTTAAGGAGCCAGGCAAGAGCAGGACTGTGACAGTAGACTCCACTGCTGTGAAACCTTATGCTTGTGAAAATCCTTCTCATTGATGATTCACACTGTAGTGAATCTTTAATTTAAAAAAAAATTAAAAAATTCCTATGCAGCCCCTTTTAATGTGAGAATTGGCCAGTGAATGTATAGAATGCTTCTCTCTGTCACTTCAAAATTCTAAAAACTTGCTTACCATCAAATTTTTAAGTGCAGCCTATGGTGGATCGTGGTTATGTGTTTGTATTCCTCCCTCCCCATAACTGATTTGCTGTCACTTTTAAACTAATTTTAGAATATCCTAAAGAACCTTCATATTCTCAAAGAACACTTTTAATCTTAAGTAAACTGCTTTCTACCAGCTATCAGCAGTATGTCAGTTTTCCCATATTCTGCTATCAAAACTTTCATCATGTATATAGTTTGAGTCATTCAGACCTTTCCTTTCAGCACTACACAAAATTCTGCTCAGTACTTCAGAAGAAGTGAGTGCTAATGGATCCTCCCTTCCAGGAATCTCCAACTTTGGAGGCAAATGGTTTGTCTGCAATAGAATTTGCTTGATAACTGTTTAAGTTCAGATTCCTAAAAAATCATTTGTTTGACTCTTGAATTTTTTCTGCATTTTACTTAGCTGTGGGTGATCCAGCAATCTTGTCAAGTTTTTTTCAGTTAATAAGCAGAAAACTTTTGATGTATGATATATATCCAGTTGCTGTACTGAATATATTTTTTTGGCTCTTTTACTCTTTACCTGTATACATTAAATGTATCGCTGTTTCTAAACTAGCTTTTTGAAGATAAACTCTGGGCAGAACTAGAAAAAACATACTTTTTTGTGTGTATGGCTAAGTTTTGAAAGTTGTGAATTGTTCACAGTGCTGCTCCATGGGCTGTTTATGTGCGCTGTCTCCAGGAACATTTTCCTTTGTAGCAATAAGCATTTTGATAAT